ATCACAAGGAGTATCACTTTAGTTCTGAGTCAATTCTTTACTTCATTTCTTATAATTAGTTCTAGAAAAATATTGGAGCTGGAAGAGGAAGAAACTGGCTTAAGCTGCTCAAGAAATCAATACAGGAGGGACTCAGGGGCTGCAGTCTGGCATGAAATTGTGGAGGGAAGAACAAGAAAGCAATAGAGGATTTCTTTTGAAACAGCACAGTTAGGCACTTAAAAAAAACTTGAATTGTGTGTGCCATACAATTAAAAGTAGGCATTTTACTCATAGTTTATAAAAGATGCTGTAAACATAAGGTGTTATTATTTTTTAGGGTGGACTTTGGTGGAATCAATAATCATGCAACTTTTCCTTTAAAACTACACAGTATAGAAGTGATTGGGCCTTCCTGAAATTTGGCTCAAGATGAGCTGCTGTTGGTCTGCAGATGCTGGAGAGTTACTTTTTTGGAGACACGAGGGGCTGAGGTACCTGTGTTCTATTGAATTCTTGTAGGATAGTGGGTTTCGTCCTTCTTGTGCATTGGTCCAACACTGAGCCTGTCATTGCTAAGGATATTAAGAAGATAGAGCTTATTCTCACAGGAGCTCAGACTGGCAGAGAGAGAGAGAGACAGACAGACAGAGACAGAGACAGAAAGAGAGACACACAGAGAGGCAGAGAGAGAGAAGCCATGGGAGAGAGTTGTAGGGAGAAATCAAACAGATGATTGACACATTTTGTGTGTGAAGTACTGACAGATTTGGCACTTCCTGGGGATGTGTTCAAACCCAACAGACTGTACTATTTATTCTTGCTGAAGTGCCACCAGAAAGTGCTCATGGCCAGCATTAGCTATCGCCCACACGACCTACTTCCCATGGAGACCCTTCCTGTCAAGGAGGTGGCATGACCTCAATCCCAAGGAACGAATCAGGAACCAGGCATTGGTGCCAGATACACATTTGACCCTGTCTGTCTAAGACCTAAGGGAGGTCTGTGAGGGAGGATTTTCTTTACTAATTAGAAAAATAAAATTTCCCCATGCCTTTTGCTTTCTCTCCTTCAGATGTGAGGTCCTGAAAGAAAGATGGTGAGATAAACATAGCAAGAGTAGAATAACAGAAAATCAGAAATAAATTGGATCCAGAACAATGTTGAGCTATCATTTTCCCCATAATGAACTGACCACCTCAGACTTCCTGAATGAGATAAAGTCTTAGTTGTTAAGCTAGTGTTAGATTATCAGACATTTAGAATTGAATGCACTCTGTGGATACGTAACTTTTTAGTGAGAAGTGGTGCCATAAAATATATCTGTCCTTTAGTTTTAACTTCATTATATTATCTAAAATGAAAGCACTTAATGCTCATGAATGAGTGAAACATTCCCATTTGTTAAGCTTCTTTTCTAGGGTTAGGATTGATTCTACTTCCCCCACCCAAGGTTTCACTGTTAATAGTGTAATGGGTCATGTCAAAGCTTCTGATATAACTCCAGTTTATAAACCTAGATTTGGCTAATGAGAGTCCCACGGGCCTCCATGATTAGGCAAAACTTTTATTACATAGAAACTACTTTTTATCAAAAGCTCTTTAGGTTTTGTCTTAACTTCCACTTCAGTTGGTCTATTAATATACATTGCTGAGATTTTTAAATTCAACTTTGGTATAGCTTCTTTCTCTTGAAGCTAAAGATGACAAAAGTGTCTAGGTTTTTTTTTTCATATTAGTAACAAAGTATCTTTCCAGGAGGACAAATTTTCCTTCAAACCCAGTAATGAAAACTCACCACTCTGGGAAATCTTAACACAATAATTAAGTGATTTAACTTATACCTTACATTTAACCTGTATTTGCCAATAATGTTCCAAAGCAGGTACCTTCTAGGGGCCCCACCATTACCCTGTAGCCTGCTTTTCCTTCTGGGTTACTCCTTACCTCATATTGTCCTATTCTGCTTCATGTTTACTGGGAAACTTGGAGCTTTAGGGATTAAAAAAAATCTCTTCTCTGATGATCCTGGACACCTTGGGTAAGACTGGGGTCTGAGGTTGGAAACAGAGGGTATTTTCACTACTAATTTTTAACTTTGTAAGTCAGTGGTCCTCACCTGAGTTGTTTCAAAGAACATTCTCATCCTGTGTTACTGGTTTAGTTGGTCTGAGGTGTACCCTGGGCACTTATTGTTAAAGATGTTGGCTGGTGAGAGATCTGGAGCCTGGCTGAACCCCACTGTCTGTTGACATTCCACACCGGATACCTTTGTCGGGGAGCTGTCCTGTGTATTACAGGATGTTTAATGAGTTCAGTGCCCTCTCCAGTTGTGATAACCAGAAATATCTCTGGCGTTTGCTGGATGTCTTGGGCTGGGCTGGGGGAACCTCTTGAGAACCAGTGGTTCCAAGCCATTGATAGTAGACTGGTTGTGAGAAGTCTCTCAAGAAGAAAACGAAGACAGGCTGCTGTTAAGATAGCTTAGTTCACTGCAAAATAAACAAAGATACCAAGGGAGGCTGCCCTTCCCTCCATCATTGGAGAAAACCTAATTAGGGTGTTTTTTTGTTGTTGTTCTTCTTTAAGGTTTTTTATTGTAGACAAAGAAATGGTATATGTGTCTTGGTGAGCATTTCTCTCGGTGAATAGGGAATGAAGGAAATGGTATAAATTTTCCTTGCTGATGAGACACACAAAAGGAAATGAAATCTTTCTTTTAATTAGCACGCACAGTCCAGGCCTAGGTGAAGTATTTCTCAGGATGGGGATTTGCTTCCAAGAGTGGGAAGATAAAGTCTGATAACTGAGGTGCTAAGTCCATGAAAATCCAGGATTTGCAGGGTCCTTGGTGGACTTCGCCACCCAACCAAGGATCTAGTGAAGGGAAATAGACCAGAGCTGAGTGTGCATGGCATTTGTGAATAAAATATTTTAGTGGTTCTCTTAGTTTGGCATCATAAGGATCCAGGAAGCACCGTAACAATGCCGAAGTGGGAGAAAAAGAGAGCAAGTAACAGGACCACTCATAAGAAGTTGCCACCACGGGCTCATAGAGTTTAAGCCTTCTGAGAATTGCAGGGAGCCAGGGAATAACACAAACCTCAGGTACAGGGCAAGAGGGCTGCTATATTGGCCCACAAATTCCAATTGGTCATTGGGCTAAGGACTACAGTCGGGGCAGACATTCCTCAGCACTTTAGTTGAACTGTGGTTCACTGGAAGGCGGAGTGGCAGACGCCCGTAGCTGAGGACAGTCTTGGGCAGTGACTGCTACTTGGATGTGGGAGACCATGGTGCATTCTGCTACAGTGATCAGTTTTAAAGCTTACTTAAAGGTATTAACTACTTTGTTAGTTAACAATATTTAATTCTTTCTTAGTAAAGACCTTGTATAAGGAACATGAGGAAAGCATAACAAAGGTAACTGTAACCCTCAAAGATACCTGAAAAAAAATATGTAACTATGAAATACCTCTGTAGAAAACCATCAGGCATCCCAGCCCCGCCTTCCACCCCTCTCCCTCATGCAGTGCACCCAGTCCACCAAGTCCTTTTGGGTGCATTCTCAAATATTCTGGAAATTATCTCCTTCTATCTCTGTTGATACCTTAGTTCAGGACTCATGCAATGGCCTCCTCATGGACTTTCCATACCCATTCTTCTTTCAGTTCCTCGGACCCACAAAGCATTTAGTTGAGGTATCCCTCCTCCCCATCCCACCCAACCCCAGCTCTACCCTCCCATTTGTTCCTTCCTGTCTTTTAGATCTGGCTAAATGAAGTCTTAATTGAAGATTTTTCTTTCTACAGGAAGATCTCCCCTGCCATACTCCATCCCACTTGTTCTAGCTCAACTCCTGCTCATTGTCTTCTCAGAATGTTTTGGTGGTGGTTTACTTTGTCTGTTTCTCTCTAGAATGTAACCTCTGTAATGGCAAGGGCCATGTCTATGTCCTTTAGCTCTGCATCTCTAGGGAGTTGTCAGGTTAGCAAGTGGATATACATGATTCCAAGCTAAATTCAAAGTTCATGAATAAATTTTAATCTAAGAATTTCAAAAAATTGCAAAGGACATACAAGCACTAAGCATTAATTATGGTTTGTCTTAAATTCAAGCTCAATTAGCATCTTGTGGTTTATCTGGCAGTCCTAATTTCCAGGTCTTGACATATATCTGACTTTCACTACATTGTATTAAAGGAAAACTTGATAGCAGCATATCAGAATTGTTACATGGCAACACTGAGGAAATATACTACAACTACAGAACTGAAGCAGCAACCAGCATCATTCTGCATCATATTTGTGCTCTGATTTGCACATCTTCTCAGTCCAGAAGAAGCTAATCAACTCTTACCCAAAGTCTTGGGGGACCCAGTGTCGTGCAGGGGAAGCTGACCACAGTAAGGCAGCTGTGAATTACACATTTCCATGTAGGACCCTCTCATTTTTGTTGTGGTCCCATGCTAGAGTGTTGATTCCCTTTGGCCCTGACTTCCCCAGATTGAGAGTTCTCAAAGGAAAGTGCAGCTTCCTTTTCAGCCATGTGTCACCAACGTCTTGCTCTGGAGTGGTAATACAGACTGAACATGTTACCAGACAGAGAAATGAGCAAATAGTAAGATGATCAGCTTGACCAACACTGAGGGGCTTCCTAAGATGAGGGACCTTAGTTGCACAAACTGGAACAGTTTTAGACAAACCAGGCGAGTAGGTTACCCAGTGAGTGAATTATTCTTTCTTCTCGACAGACCTGTAGTGGCCAGGGATGGTTGGTCCTGGTCATACTGGCTCCTACATGATACCATGATTAAATGCCTACTGTCTTGCCCATCTGTTTTAAGCTGACAGATTTTTGGAAGTTTTCTGAACCCCTTGAGTTCTCCATTCTTTGGTTTAGCTCCTAAGAGTTTGATCCTGGGTGTCAGCCCCAACTCATGATGTGGGAAAGGGCTTACCCACCAGTCTTGGCCACTTATAGGTCAGGCTCATTAAGATGTGATTATGGCTATTTATCACTTCCACAGAACATTACCAGGTGTTTATTGAATAATTAAATGGATGGTCATGGAACTATTCAATCATATTTTCACAAATATTCTGAGTTTCTTGACTATGAAATGTGAGTTTACACTTTATCCAAACCTTCCCCTCCACAACATCAGAGAGCATACACAAGATTCTCTAGGAAACCATACAAATTCATTCTTGGTTATGGTCAAAAGGCTCCAGTCTCAATTAAGGTCCTGCCGGCTTCTTGGAATTGGGGGTGAAATGGCTCTTGAGAGGTTCCCAGCACTTGTAGTAATTCTCATCCAAACAACTGGAAGCTTTGAGTCCCCATTTGGTGACAGCCAGACTTAGGGAAGATTCAAACATAAATGCCTGCAGGAAATGGGGGACATGTGAAGAAAGGGATGAGGTAGACAGTAAAACACATGTGCTTAGATGTCATAAGAAGATACAGGCAGGCAAAATCTTGGACTAATAGATCATGTTACTGGCATTGTGAGAAAAGGAAACCCAGTCCTTGGATCCCAACTCCAACCTTACTACCTGTAAGCTGATGAGATCTTAGGCAAGACTTTGAACTAACCAGGACCTTGAGTTCCATCTTGTGGGATGGAATTAGACACTTGGGCCTCACACTGTTTCTTAGAGCACTGTGGAACTATATTTGCTAGTTCCAAGGGTGAGAGAATGCTGGAATGCTGGAATATTCTTCTCAGGGGCTGTTGATTAGCCTGGCCATATCCTTGTGACAATGGGCAAACCCTTCATTTCACAGAAGAGGAAACTGAGATTTGAACTTGCATTTTCAAGACTTTGACTAAGAAGTCAGGAAAAGGAAAGGAGTAGCAGGGGAAGTTGCTTAAAGAAAACAGGAGCCGGGTGCTGGTGGCTCACGCCTGTAATCCTAGCTACTCAGGAGGCTGAGATCTGAGGATCGCGGTTCAAAGCCAGCCTGGGCAGGAGAGACCGTGAGACTCCTATCTCCAATAAACCACCAGAAAACCGGAAGTGGCGCTGTAGCTCAAGTGGTAGAGCGTTTGCCTTGAGCTGAAGAGCTGAGGGACAGCGCCCAGGCCCAGAGTTCAAGCCCCACAACCGACAAAAAAATAAAAAAAAAAAAAGAAAAGAAAACAGGAGCTGCAGCACTGGTTTTTAAAGCCATATTTCTGCTGCATGGAGTTATATACACACACCGCACTTAGGAGGCTGATGCAAGAGAACCATGAGTTTGAAGCCAGCCTAAGGTAAAACCCTGAAAAAAATAACTAAAGGAAAAAAAGGCCTGGAGGCATATCTCAAGTGGTATTATACTTAACAAGCATGAGGTCCTGAGTTAAAAATCCTCAGTACCACCACCTCCACTAACAACAACAAAACTTCCAGGACCTGGACATTACCCAAAGTTCGACTACTGAAGGAAATGTCCCTGTCCTGTGCCTCACAGTTGTAGAGCATTGTTCCTTAGTCATACAAGTACCCAGAGACAATTTAGGGCACTAAAGGTTCTTGAGGAGTCACTCTGGGGTAGCCCAAGCACTTCCGGGATCTGTCAGAGTCAATGTGCTTGCTTAACTGAAATTGTCAAACTGTGTCCCATAGAAATCCCTCAGAGGTCCTGGCAAGAGAAACAGAGCTGAAGCCAAGCGTGTGAGAAGATTTTGTGTCCTTCTTTCTCCAGAACTCTGCTACCAGCTTTGGCTACAGGGTTGGGACCGAAACTAAACTGCATTGGCTAGATGGACAGCTAACACCCACCACCTAGGATGTTTACAAGCGGCATGGAATCAGGAAGGTCTGTGGTAGAGATTTTGAACCAGGTAGCATTGAAGGCATTTGTTTAAAAAATGCAAAGCAAATTTGCAGGTGGTTTAGAATAAAAATTACCTCCTATGGTCCATTAACTCTAAGAATATAAAAATAAAAAAAGATCAAGTGCCGCAGCCAACTGCAATTGTGTTCAACCTCGTTGTTTACAGCCTGACATGAGAGGAATACAAAGCAGGTTTTAAATCCCATCCATTCCATCCCAGGCCAAAATAGAACAAAGGAAAAGGAGGAAACATCTAAAGACTGCAGCTCACAAGCCTGACCCTTCAGTGCTTGAGAAACTGGGTGAGCATGGCATCCTGCCTCCCTTGCTGTTGTGGGCCTCCATGACTGCTTGACTCCGAGACAGAGCACACACAGGGCTGCACATGAATACAGGAAGACCCTTCACCCAGCATAATAATAACCTTGCATTTGAACTGTATTGAACGACTGTGCAATAAGATCAACTCATAGTCATCTGCCGTGATAGATTGCATACCCATTCTGAAGATGGGGAAAATGATGCATGGAGAAGTTAAGTGACACAAGCGCTAAGAGCTAGAATTTAAACTCAGATCTGACTCCAAGTACAAAAAGCTTCCTATACTACCACAGCGGGGATGTAGCATTTGCACAAGGCCATGCATAGACATACATATAACTATGTACATACAGACACACAACCCTCCTCTCTTTACTCCACCTCTGTTTCTTTGGAGAAATAAAAAATAGATGATTTTTTCTCTTGACAAGGTGGCAGCTTGCTTACCATGGTGCCATCAGCAATCCTCTCAGGCTCCAGTTTGGCCTTACTGGCCTTCTCAAAGCAGTCAGCATCAGGGCCATGAGGGGTCATGGCACTATGCAGGCTGCCACCTCCTGGCAGGAATCCACCTGGCTTGGCCTCATAATGACCTTTGATGAGTCCCATGAATTCACTCATGCAGTTCCCTGGGAAGGTTGAAGCAATATTATTATTATTATTATTATTATTATTATTATTGTGTGTGTATGTGTGTGAGAGAGAGGTAATAGAAAGATGTAATAGATTGATATTGATGTAATAGATGTAACAGAAAGAACTCTGGATTCAAAGTCCATTATCAAAGCATAATCTCTGTGACAGAATCTTGGTCTCTGTAAAATACAGACCTTAAAAGCTATTTATCATAACAAATACCAGCATCTATAGCTGATAAAATCGTATTCTTCTGTTCTAGAATTCTAAATGGAAACAATATCACCTCTATTCCATACAAAGATTTTCTCTTTTCTTTTCTTTTTTCTTTTTTTTTCTTTTTGGTCCAGTCGTAGGGCCTGAACTCTGGGCCTGGACGCTGTCCCTCAGCTCTTCAGCTCAAAGCTAGCGCTCTACCACTTGAGCCACAGCACCACTTCTGTTTTTTTCTTTCTTTCTTTTTGCTTATGTGGTGCTGAGGAATCGAACCCAGGGCCTCATGCATGCAAGGCAAGCACTCTACCACTGAGCCACCTTCCCAGCCCTCTCTTTTCTTTCTTTAATTTTTTGGGTAATATTTGTAGTATTGGGGTTTGATCTCAGGGCCTCGTGCTTGTTAGGCTGGCACTCTACCACTTGAGCCATGCCTCCATTTCTCACACAAAGAGTTACTCCTGGGCTCTGCCTGCATGGGCAAGCACTCTACCACTAAGCCACATTCCCAGCCCTGCATGGGTTCTATGAATGGAAGTGTTATGCTCTACAAAATAACCCATCGTATTACTTAACAGCTCTGGGTGTTAGAAAGCTTTTTCTATATTAAATGGAAATGTACTTTCATATAGGTTAAACTTATGAGTCCTAGTTTGCTTTCTAGCGTCACAATTTAACAAAAATCACCATACTTCCATACTTTCAATCCTATAAAGCTATAAGTAAATCTATAAAATAAAGGTTCTTATTAAAATAATAACACCTCTGAAGCAGAATAAAAGAAATATAAAACCTGAGTGAATTTCATTGACTTTCCATCTCTATCCACTCCATCCATCTACCCATCCATTCATCCATCCAATATATACGATTAGATATTGTGGTAAGTACTGGGATATAGAAAGATAAGAAAAGGCCTCCTTATGGAGCTGGGAATGTGGCTTAGTGGTAGGGTGCTTGCCTAGCATGCATGAAGCCCTGGGTTCAACTTCTCAGTTTCACATAAACAGAAAAAGCCAGAAGTGGTGCTGTTGCTCAAGTGGTAGAGTGCTAGCTTTAAGCGAACGAAGCTTAGGGACAGTGCCCAGTCCCTGAATCCAAGCCCCAGGACTGGCAGGGAAAAAAAGTCCCCTTAAAGCTACTCAAAGTCTTCCTGTGAGAGAATGAAGAGTGCAAGTCACAGACTACAGAGGGAGAAATAAGAAGTAAAATAGCACCATGTTCTGTCCTTCTTGTATAATCAGCTAAGCAGTGACATCTACCCTTCCCCAAATACTCACTGCTGCTTTAGGGCCCCTATAAAGGGACATAGATTTGGCAGCCCCTGCAAAGAAGGTGACATCCAGATGACAACGTGTAGCAGAAATTGGGAAAGAGAAGCAAATGGAAGTATAAAGTGTACATTTTAAAAACAGTTGTGCTCATGACTTAAGTTTGCTGTCACATTCCCCACTGCAGAATGCGTCCTCATGGTCACCTTCATGGCTTAATTTGAAGAAGAGAGCAAGATGGAATTTGGCTTTGATCTGAATATGAATTCGGGTAGCAATGAGATTGGTGATAACATTTCTATATCACTTTCCTTATTTCAAAGGACAGTGGGAGGGTAAACCTCGCCTTTCTGATTAAAGCTGAGACTCCTTGACTAAGGTGCATTCAAAAGACTGCAGGCAATATGTCTACAGAAATAACTTCTCACTTCTCTTTTAAAGTCACATCAAAATAGTAGGAATTTTTGAGTATTGGTAAAGCAAGATTTTTTTTTTGCGGGGGAAGTGCAGGTCCCAGGGCTTGAACTCGGAGTCTCTTTGTTCCTGAGCTTTAGTACTCAAGGGTAGTACTCTATCACTTGAACCACGGATCTACTTCCAGCTTTTTGGTGGTTAATTGGACATAAGAGTCTCATGGACATTTCCTGTTCGGGCTGGCTTGTAACTGTGATTCACAGATTTCAGCTTTCTGAGTAGCTAGGATTATAGACATGAGCCAAGGGTGGCCATCAATAGGTGAGATTTTTAAAGAACTTGTACCAGGACATAAAACTGGCCAATAACCATAAGCCAAGTCACCATATTATTAATGAAATAAAAGGAGTACATTTTTTAGGTCCTATTGTAGTCAACAAATGCTCTGTAGAACTTCCTTCTAGAATAGTCTGTCCTCTAATACATACTTAAATCTGCTTTGTCCTTTCAAAGTAATGGGAGAAAATACCTTTTGTTGGCTATTGAACTATACTCAAGAGAATGAGCTTTCCCCAAACTATGCTACTAACAACCATCAGAAGAAAGACCTGAAATGTACAGAAACTCCTTGCTTCATACTTACCAGCCTTTCTGCCTTTCTTTAGAGACAGAGGAATGGAGATATAGGTTTAGAGTCAATGCTCTAGTACCATCCCTGCAGACATTTTGGTTTTAAAGTAGCTTAAAGTGAGGGCAGTAGAAATAATACTTTCAGGGTCCAGAATGCAGGCTGTATATTCAGAAAAAACAGAACTTATTTCCAATGCACAGTGCTTACTGTATGCCACTGTTTCCAATGTGCCTTGGTGAAAGAGGGACTTACTATGGTAATAAGGAGGCCTGAAGGTTTTATCGGCCACCCCCCATCGAGGTGGGAAGATGACAAAGTCAGCAATGGCTACTCCAGGACGCATAGACTTGGCAGTCAGCACCGTGAAAATGGAGGGGTCCTGTGAATGCACAAGAGAGACTCAGTGTAAGTGCAAGAGAGGTAGGTGGATCATGGCACACGTGTCACCCGCACATGGAGGTATTTTCAAGTGATGGTCTGAATTCTGATCAAATGACAGGTCAGCAGCCTTCTAAGGAAGGTGTGGTAAGTATTCATCTGACTGTCTCCTTGTGTGTGTGAGGCAAAATAAATTCACACCAGCTAAGAGGGTTGGTTCTGAGTTGCTTCATCACGTCGCCAAACCTATACTACACACACCCAACTATCCCAGGGCTCTGAGAGCCAAGGCACCTGCTTTCTAACCTCAGAACAGCACAGCAGGAATTCCTGGTAGAAAGAATCCTCCCTTCTCCCCTCCCCAAATCAGGTAAAACAGAAATAAAACAGCATCTAGAACTAGGTGAAGATGTAGACGTACTTCTCTTTGGAGATTGGATCCGAACTATATCATTTACATCACTAGTTTTGGTGTGTAGTATGGAGGGGTTCTGTAGGTTAAGAAACGATATTATACTTTTAAAAGAACTTTAGATTCCTTCAGTGGAAAGACTGATTTAACTGACATCAAATACAATGTTTTCCTTTGGATGCCATGCTAATATGTAGGCACTTAAAGATGATTGGATCTTTTCTTCCCTCATCTTTTAGACTTAATGAAGAAGAGAAGAAAGTGATTATTCCTACCTGAAAGAACCAAGGAAGGATTCAAAGAGGAGGTGTTAGGTAAGCTAAGTCTTAAAGAATGAACAGAAGAATGGAGAATGGAAGAAAGCAAAAAAGAGACGAGAGAAAGAGAAGAAAGAAAAAGGCGTTTTATCATGGAACATGGGAAAGACATCAAAATTCACTGAGATTTTGTTAGGAGAGAAGGTTAAAACCCAGCATCTATATTGACAGAAGGAAGAGGGGCAAGATGTGGTGTTGTAAAATGAGCCTGGACCAGATGGTAAAGAGCATCAAATACCACGCTTCAGAGCTCAGACTTAATCCTAAACCACAGGGAACCTTTTGAGGGCTTCTTAATGTAGTGGTGGACTGATCAGATCTGTGTTTGGGGAAGAAAACTATAGCATCAGTACAGAGAAGACTGCACCTGTATAAATTCAGATGAGAAAAAATATCAGTCCTTATTGCTGGGAGATGTAATATTTCTCTATCTGTTATGGGAAATGGTCCGAAACTATTGAAAGAAGGGAAAGGTAGTAGAGCTGAAATAAGACTTTATCAGTGTTTCATGATACTTTCTCGTGTTGTTTTGGGCTTGGTGTCTTGATTTTCTTTTCCCCTTTGGTTTTATTAAGAGTTGTGGTTGTTCAGAAAGGTAGTTTTGTGCCCCCTAGAGATAAGCTGAATTGGCTCCAAGTAATCCTTCTGCCTCTGATTCTCTGGCTCCTACCCTAATTATCTCTCAGCTTGTGGGTTAAGTTAATCTATTATGAACTAAGCTGCAAAAGTAAAGATCCCCCAGGATCTCAGAACTAGCCCTTTATCAAGAATATGGGGCATTGGGGGCCAGCATTGTAGACCAGGGACCTGTTTGTGGTCCTGTAATTGACTGAAAAATATGAGCAAGTCTGTACACTAGGGTTTCTTTGGTTCACGTTCAAACACTAAACATCACGGGTAACTTTAGAAGAGGGCTTTTTCCTCCATCACTGCCAACCCCAGCCAAACAGAGGAACTTAGATAGGTGCCACAGCAAGTGTCAACTTCTGAGCATTGGGAGAAAGATAGAGACTTTTCCATTTCCATAAGTGATCTTTTCTCCTGGCTCTGGCCATGAATACTAGCAGTTAGCTAGTGTGTGTGTGTGTGTGTGTGTGTGTGTGTGAGAGAGAGAGAGAGAGAGAGAGAGAGAGAGACAGAGAGACAGAGACAGAGACAGAGAGACAGAGAGAGTGAGTTTACCCATCTATGGGAGTTATTATGGTTATTCTTACAGAACTAAGCTGAGTTCATGAATGCATGTTGAGTATCTGACCTCGCTTCCTCATCAGCTGTTATTTATTCCTTTGCCAAGGGACAAATACCTATATCTAGGCCTTCCAAGGGTGATTTTGGAAGTGTCAGATCTGTGAAGGACACAGTCAGCTGTGGATCCCTTCCACCAAAGGGTGCCTCATCCTGGGGATCTTACCGCATGGTCAAAGGCCACTGCGTTGATGACCATGAAATTGTCCAGGTTGTACTTGTAGGGCGTGTAGTTCCCATGCCAGGCCACAACATTGAACGGGGAGACATCCTAATCACAAAAGGTAGGAAAAGAAGATGATCCTGGTATGTAATGTTTTCATAGCTGTCATCCTACAATATGTACTAGTATAACTCTCTTTTAATATGATATTAATGTAAACTTCATTATAGCCTTGTTTAGGAGAGTATAACTCTTTTTTAAAAAATAAATGTATCCCAAACTGGCATAGAATTCACTATGTAGGGATGGGCAGGTAACTCAGTGGTAGGGTGCTTGTCTTGCATGCATGAGGCCCTGGGTTTGATTCCTCAGCACCACATAAACAGAAAAAGCAGGAAGTGGCATTGTGGCTCAAGTGGTAGAGTGTTAGACTTGAGCTGAAGAGCTGAGGGACAGCGCCCAGGCCCAGAGTTCAAGGCCCATGACTGACAAAAATAAAAAAAAATAAAAAAGAATTCACTATGTAGCTCAGGCTGAACATATATGATCCTCCTATCTCGACTTCCTGGATGCTGGCATTGTACCATCATATCTGACCAGAAAAGTATAGCTCTTTTTTTTCCTTTTTCTTTTTACTTGTGCTAGTTCTAAGACTTGAAACTCAGGACCTTGGTACTGTCCCTGAGCTTCTTTTGACCAAGGCTTCTGGCTTCTTCTGTGTATGTGGGTACTGAAGAATCAAACCCAGGTCTTCATGTATGCTAGGCAAACACTTTACCACTAAGCCACATTCCCAGTCCATCTCTGAGCTTTTTTCTCAAGACTAGTACTCTTCCACTTGAGCAATACCTTAATTCCTATCATTTTGGAGGTTAATAGGAGATAAGAATTTCATAGACTTTTTCCTGCCTGGAATGGCTGAGAATCACAATTCTCAGATGTCAGCCTCACAATTCTCAGATGTAGTTAGGATGACAGGCGTGAGCCACCTGAATCATTATGAGGTTGCTTCTCCCAGGTTTTAGCCTCAGATCTATTTTTCCATAAGCTGTAGCTGCCTTTGATACATGTGCTGCAGAAGCATAGCACATTCATCAAGCAGTGCTTTCAACAACTTTTCACATAGCTGTGGGAACCTGTGGGTACCACCAATTCTCAAACAATCAGGATTATTCTTTTCTGGGGCAGCAGGCATTTGCTATGACAATTCCCTAGGTTGTTGTAGCTTTAAAGTGCCTGATGAAACCAAGAACTCTAACAACAACAGATGCTGGAGGGGATGTGGACAGAAGGGAACCTTACTTCATTGTTGGTGGGAGTGTAAACTTGTTCAACCACTTTGCTTCACATAGACCTCCCTATGACCCAGCAATCCCACTTTTGGGCATTTACCCAAATGTTTACAAACAAGACCACACTAAAGCTACCAGCACAACTATGTTTATTGCAGCATTATTTACCATAGCTAAGATATGGAACCAACCCAGATGCCCCTCAGTAGATGAATGGATCAAGAAAATGTGGTATATATACACAATGGAATTCTATGCCTCCATCAGAAAGAATGACATTTCCCCATTTGTTAGGAAATGGAAAGGCTTGGAAAAAATTATATTAAGTGAAGTAAGCCAAGCCCAAAGAAACAAAGGTCCCATGGTTTCCCTTATTTGCAATATCTAGTATATGTATGAGTCAAGCAGGAAAGATCAGATAACGTGATGTTAGGAAAATGAACCCTTAGATAAGTATTTAAATGTTTTTTTCTTTCATGCATTTGTTTCTAACTCATTTATAAGATTATTTCTTTGTAGCTTTGTATGTCCCTCCCCCACGGTACAACCCCTGCTTTCACTATATTTGATGGCGGTATAATTTGTGGAGGAGATGGGGAAAAACAAGTCGTTTAAGGATACAGGTGGACCCGATGCAACTATGAGAAGTACAAGTCGTCATGTCAAAAATGAACTTTACAACTTTGGTGGGGGGGGGGCGGGATTGGGTGGGGGAGGGGGGAGGCTGGGAAGGGATGTGAAGGGTAAACAAAGGAGGAGGCTGCAATGCTTGATAAGAAATGTACTCATTATCTTGCCCATGTAATTGTAACCCCTCTGTACAGTATGTTCACAAAAAATAAAAATTTAAATTAAAAAAAAAGTGCCTGATGAGTAGACTTCTACGAGTTCCAGTCCCAGGAATGTGCTATTTCAGAGTGATCCTAAGGTGTTTCATGGTCCTTGGAGTGGGAGGGGCTAGGGTGGGAAGGCTCTGTGTTCTACTATTGAAAGGTGATCCTCACTACTGCCAGGATCTATCTGAAAAAGAAGATCCAACTCAAGGTTCTCAAGTCTTTAGTAAACAGACTCTTCACCAAGGTATACTTAGGGCTAAGTGGAATGATTTAGAGGTGTTGAAAAAACATCCTCATTCCCATCAGTGAGATCACATAGCCTTTCTGAGCACTAAGAATCAGGGAGGGAGGCAGGTGTGGCCGCTCATGCCTGCAACCCTAGCTACTCAGGAGGCTGAGACCTGAGGATGTCATTTGAAGCCAGCCCATGCAGGAAAGTTCTTAAGACTCTTATCTCCAATTAATTTCCAGAAGTGGAGCTGTGGCTCAAGTGGTAGAGTGCTAACTTTGAGCACACACACACACACACACACACACACACAAATACCTCAGGGACAGTGCCCAGGTCCTTAATGAGAGAGAGAGACAGAGACAGAGACAGAGACAGACAGAGAGAGACAGAGAGACAGACAGAGACAGAGAGAAACAGAGACAGAGAGACAGAGACAGAGACAGAAAGAGACAGACATAGAGAGAGGATAATAAAGGAGGGAAATATTGTTACAAGACTCTAGCAAGAGACAGAACCACAAAGAAAGGCTTTCTCAGTTGTATGTAATGTGGGTAGATATTGAACAACCAGCTTTCTGGAACAAAAAAGTTCTGATTTATAGTGTTGCCTATTTCCAACATGTAAATATTTTCACCATGACCATATTTGTTTTTAGTTATTTTTCAAATAAGTTCTCACATTTTTATGTAGGTCAACCTGGATCATGATTCTCCTATTTCTAGTTTCTGAGTAGCTGAGATAGCAGGCTTATTCTACCCTGCCCAACCCACTAATTGAGTTTGGGGTGAGGGAGTGTCTCATCAACATTTTACCCAGGCTGGTCTTAAACTATAATCCTCTAGATCATCACCTCCAAAGTAGCTGGATTACAGGAGTAAGCCACTGCACATAGCCTCTTGATTATGATCATTTTGAGCTACCAATGTGATGTTATAGAACATGAATTGAAGAGGTACACATACCAGCTTTTGTGGTTGGCACCTCTTGGACTGCCCACCAGGAGCCAACCTTGCCAGAAACAGTCTCGGAAAGGGAGGAAGCAGGGAAGACATATTCTACATGTTTTCCTTCTGCTCCCAATTTTCTGTGGAGCAAACTCAACAAAGTCCAGTAGACTAAGGAGCTTAGGTAAAAGTGCCCAGGGAGACCAGCCTCATAGGCTCATATTTTGATAGAGAAGAGGAAGTGGACAAGGGCCACATATAGAGAATAACATGGACCCAGGAAAGTAGAAAAACCATTCAGGAGCACCTGCTACTACTTCTAGATTACTGGCATATGTGTATCTTAAGTGTAGGTCAAAATGATCTGGGAAATGGGATCGTGCTTAGAATGAATTCAGGTTTCCACCTCTTATCCTTGGAGGTTATCCTCTTGCTGGGCTGGAATATTCCTAAGGATCTGAAGTTCACACGAGCTTTACTGAGGGGTTCTGACACAAATGGTCCCTGAACCACTGTGGAGAACCCTCACCCTGAGAATATGAGGGTGATAATGTGTCTGCTTCAGGGACTAATTTTAGGTGCCAAACTGGTTGACCTCTGTTGGTTGGAATGACCTCTAGGTAGGACAAATGTAAGCTGTGAAAAAGTAGAATGAACAAAATCAAATGAACAAATAATGATAACGGGTTCTTTTTTAGCTTACCATAACATATTAACATAGTAAGTAATAATCCATAGTAATATATGTTTTGTTATCCTTTTATTATCTGGATCTTTATGGCCTGATTTGAGCAGGCTAGAAATATAAAACAAGCAAAATTAATTGACAGAGTTCTATCTATTTTGTATCAACCATTACTTGTGTTTAAAATAGGGTGATCATTGAGGAATATCAGTCTTGGTTGATTTCCTTAACTCATTTTCCCTTCCTCAATCTATTATTCTGCCTGTATATTTATTAATGACTATAGAGATCTACTTATTGCTAGGGTTTTCATTGCTAGATGACTGAGAAGAACATAAACTTGGGAGCAGACAGAGAGGGGTTTGAATTCTGATCCTACCACTTAATAGGATGTGGGTACATAATTTAGCAAAACCTGGCTTGCTTTCATGACCTTGAATAAGGCAAATAATATCCTAACTATAGTACCTTAGTGGTACTACAAGGTGCATGTACAGTACCCAACACTGGCCTTCATCAAGTGCTCATAAACTATTCATTCCTCCCCCTTGCTACCAACCCTCTCATCTTACCTGTTTGGCAGCAAACAGCTTGCCCTGGTATTTATTAATCACAGTATAACCACCTGGTACTTGACGATCTTCATACCAGGCAACAGGTATCAAGAAATCACGAGGATTGGCCAAACCATTAGCTCCTAGAACACAGTAACCCCAATCCCATTTAGACCTTTCTGAAATAGCACAGGAAAGATGCCTACAAAAAGAAAGGCCTCCTTCGGTGTCAAAAGCTACTCTACAAATGGCCTTTATTGGGCAAAGATTCACTGGATTCACAGTGACCTTTCTAGGATGACCAAAGGAATTTAGATTGGAAATAAATAAATGAATAAATAAATAAATAAATATATATATATATATGATCATTATCAAACCTAGAGCTGCTGGTTCATTCCTGTATTCTTAACTACTCAGGAAGCTGAGATCTGAGGATTATGATTCAAAGCCAGCCTGGGCAGAAAAGTCCAGGAGACTCTTACTCCCAATTCAACAGCAATAAGCCCAAAGTAGAGGTGTGGTTTAAATGGTGGAGCAGAAAAAAAGCCAAGTGAAAACACAAGGTCCTAAGTTTAAGCCTTAAGTTTAAGCCCCAGTACTGAGCAGCCTGAAAAACTATTTGCTCAGCTAAAATAATAAATAAATAAAAATAAACCTATCTGCCCCACAGGGAGAAAAGTATTCAGGACTTGCCTATTTAGCCCTGCTTAGGAATGAGAGTGTTCTCTCTAGAGAAAGAAAATAAATTGAAAGACCAAATACAAAAGGCCCAAGTGCAAAACACATAATTTAACTCTGAGATGAGAGACCTGGAAAGTGTTTTATCATTTCCAGTTCCTGGGGTTACCAAAAAAAAAAACCCAGCTGCTTGGTAAATTATATATATTTTCCAGAGGGTGCTTGTTCCATGCAACCTAGAGGCTCTGCTGCCTGCAGAGCAGCAGGAAGCCAGAGCAAAGTTGGAAGAGTGGGTGGTGAGCAGGATGACAGACGGCCCACCAGGCCTCCAGCTGCCTCTCTGCCGCCTCCCACCTTTCTCTGCATATTTGGATCCCCCAGGGGAGTGACCAGAAGGCACATGCTGGTCTGTCCCTGTTTTGCTCTAAAAAGCTGTTGACAAGGAAGGAAGAACTAAGAGATAGGGCCAGAGATGAAACCAAGGGCAAGTTTCCCAGCTCTCCTTGCGCTCCAAGGGAGATCTGAGAACAACTGCTCCTCACTCACACCTTCACTTCCTTCCTGTGTCTCCTGCCTCTGCTGCCAGGAGAATGGAGAGTAGGAGACCTTGATTCACCTTTGGAAGGTTGAATCTGTCTCTTAGGACTGTGTTTGCTAGTTCTTCTAGATTACCTTCTTTATTGTTAAGTGTGGGGGTTTTGTAGTGTGTGCAGTAGGCAGGTGAGGTACTTAGTCTATGTGTCATCCAGTCCACTCCCCCTTTCCATTGGATTAGAGCCCTGTCCATTTCTCCTACTTTACTGTCTGCACACAACCTATTCATGTAAGAAAACAGTTATTCTTATATACTTTGGCTTAAGTTTTCCCCTTTTCTCTTTACTTCTTTGGAGATTAGTCAACTCTCATCTCTTCTTGGAACTTATTCCTGATGACACTATCCACAGTCATCCAAGCTTTTACATTCTCTGCGGTGTTGTGGTATAACCAGAAACCTACTCTATATTGTTTTACATCACCAATAGTGTAATTTATATTCTAGAGAGAAGTTCGTGATGTTTCGATTTGGGCCATTTTGTCCTGTATTCCCATATTCTACAGGAAGATACTGGATCTGGAGAAGCTGACTGAAGAGGGAAGTTGAAATTTGAGCAAGACAGTGAGGGAGAAGTGTGTTTAGCTTTCATGCAATGATCCGTGTTCTAGATCTCAAGTGAGGCCTAGAGGCTTGGAGTGGAAGATTTACCAATAGGTCCCAGGTCAGGTAATTCAAAGTGGACACCATAGACCTCCAGGATGTAGCCCCTGGTCTCCTCGAAGACATCTATGCTGAAGCGCATTCCCCTCTGGAAGATGGAGACACAGGTATGCCATCTTAAATCATACTTGCAGTTCTAAGCGGCCCCAGAGCCACAGTCAGTCCCAAATGCACAAGTAAAGCTGTAGTTTCTTGAAGCATGATTGAGAGGCAACCAGGTCAAAGATTTGTAAAAAAGAAAACATTAGAAGTTTAATCACATATGTGACTCAAGCTATTAGTGGCCTAAGTTCTTTCTTTCTGGGTCCAGAGATAACAATAGCCCCCATTCACCTAATCATAAAAGAAAAGACAACCCTCCCTCCCCCCAAGTAAAAACCAAAACCCTTTTCTACTTCCTACCTTCAACCCAGTCTTATGCAGAATGGGGGAGGAGGAAGCAAACATTTAGGAGAATGTACCGATCAACACTCTTTTCTTTGTGATTGTGTGCTGTATTAAAACAAAGTTGAATGCAGCCTGCTTCCCCTTCAGCACATATAGCCTTCTGTATAACTCATACTCCTCCTTGCTGCCCAGACATGACAGAGAAGCATTTCAGAGTTGGAAATAGCAGTAGCTGAAACATCTGATTGCTCCCAAATTAAGGAGAGGCAGGGAAGAGAGGGGGCACATTACCAACCTGAATGACGCAGATCTCATTGGGCTGCACAAGGATCTTGCCAAACTCGGTGTAAATGAGAAGCTTCCCTTTCTGGGGAACTGACAAAAAAAGACAGGGCAGTGGTGAGCAACCCTTTTCATGTGAGAACCATTTCATGCAGGCTTAGGGCCATACTTGCTTTTTATTTCAGATGAAAAAGAACATTATTGTATCTCATGGGGGGAAATGTATGTTCTGACCATTTCAGTGAGCTACTAAGATGACATAGAACAATTTTTAAATGCTTCAAAATGATTCTCCTGTTTTTAGTTGTCATGTTAGCAATGTACGTGTATATGCACATCTTTGTGAACTGACCACGCTGCCCCAAACACAGCCACAGAAATAGAATGGAAAAGTACTCATTTCTGACAATTTTAGCAGAAGGTTGGTATTTGAATGTCTAATGTTTATGTCAAAATATCAATAGTAAAACCACTAAATGGAATGGAAAGATTCAAATAGTGTCTGACAGATCTTACATTTTAGGTGGTCTCATGAAAATTTGTAAATGCTATTATCAAGGACAAATGGGCTTCTCTTGGGTGAATCTGAAGGAGAATGGAGTACTTCTAATAAATTAGTTACATGTTGGTGTCACTATTTATTTTCCCCATCAAAAAGGCTCGGAAGAGATGGGGAAAAAAATGGAAGACCAGGAAATAGAGTAGGAACTTGGAAGTGTGCTAGGAATCTTTTCCAGATAATCAGTGGCCTCTAGACCTCAGTCAATAGATTGCACTAAATTAAATAAACCAGGTTGGAGAATAAACATAAACAATGCATAGAAAGTTAGAATGCATCTTGGATTCCAAGATTAACAATGACAGAGTTTTAAATCATTAGAACTTACCAATCAGGAAGTCCCCATCTGAATTGTAAAAGCATCTGAAACATACAAAATACTTCCTGTGACTTTTCAGTTTTAATACTGTCTATAACTATTGATTCATTCTCCAAATTAGTGCCAACTGTGTACAAGGTGCAGGATATAAAATAGTGAACAGAAGCTCTATGTAGAGTTTAGAGTATCATAGACAGCCAGAGAGCAAACAAATACAATAACAGAAGACTATTATCACAATCTATAGTGGCACAATGAAGGCCAGGGGATTGAAAAAATAGGAAAATGTGCTAGTTTGGGGGGGGGGTAACAATGACTTCCTTGAAGATTGGATGCTTAACAAGAGATCTGAAGGTATTATCTAGGCAAGAGGAGAGAATATTCCAGGCAAAGGGTCCTCACATGCTCTGAGGTAAGAAGGCCTGTGGCAAGTTGAGAGAAATGAATGAAGGACAGTGTGGCTTGAGTAGAGGGAGGGGCAGTGGCCTGATATGAAGCTGGACCCAAAGGAAGGTGTCCAGTGCATTGTCATAGAGTGTGATCCTGACCCTTGATTCATGTGATCTTGACCTTGACCCAGTTCATTTAGCTAGCAAGATTAGAGTTCAGCTTTCAGTACAACAATGTGGTCCCAGAGGTTGTGTGCTAAGTCTTCTTCCCAAAGAAAAAAAAATAATTGAAGTAAAGCCAGTATATAAACTTGCTTACACAGAGCTATTATCTGAAGCCACGTTGTCAGCTTGACCTGCCACTAACATGCAGCACGACTTTAAATTCAACAATAACCCTGGGAACCTTAGATATTAAGCATATTGTGACCCAAACCAATCTAAAACCTCTTGAACTACTCCATTTAAGGACCCCAGACTCCCTTTTCTGTTTACATAGTTAAGTGGCACTTAGGCCACTAGAGTGAGTTAAAATGAAATGCTTGTTTGTTGTCACTAGCAATAAATACTCTGAGAGATAAAATAATATTAAAAACCATGTTGGTATATCTGTTACTTTGTGGGAGTGAGAACTGGCCTTCATGCTCTGGCTACCAGCCCTAGAAGTGGAGATGTCTTGTCTCAGGCTCTGAGCTACTTACTTGTTCTCCATGGAGCTGTTGCATAGAAAAATGTGGACAGCAAGCCCATTGTTAGATCTAATATCTCCAGCTCCACACAAGGTATGCAGGCCCTGGGAAAGGGAGGAGAGAGTGAATATCAGTAAGACCTAGAAGACAAAAGAAGATGGGTCCTTTCTCTGGCACTTGGGGATCAGGAGGCAAATTTCTACCTGGGAGACCAGTGGAGCATTTGGGATCGAGGCTATCTCAGAGTAGCCTGGATGACTGACTTATGCTTGGTAAGTGTGGCTCACCCTAGTTGCCAGCTGTAGCCCAAATCTAGGTGACTTAATGGCTATGTCAGATGAATTTGCACAGTATGAAGTCATTCTTTTTAATGAACTCAAAAGTGACATTTTATCATTTGGGGGCTTAGGATCAACATGGAGGAGATGTTCTGTGATAGAGTCAAGGAGGATGCAGTATCGAGAGCCAGTTAGTGCCCCCTCAAATACCCCTACCCTGTGTGCAGCCTTCTGCATCGGAGGCCAGCCCCACCTTGCTAGAGCAGGGTGGAGGAACACATTGTAACTGATGGTGGTTCTGTCTGATAGGTGACCACAGGATCCGCAATGCAAGAGGCCTGTGCTGTGGGGCCTGGTCAAAACAGTGCTCGGTTTGCTTCTTAGGAAGTGAACTATGGAAATTCTCACAGGAGGGAGAAATTTGCATTTTATATTTTGTATTTTAATTCAGTGTACAAGATTGGCTCTTGTAAAATTTGCACAGTTTGGAGCACTTAATAAACATAATGACTTCAAAATGATGTTCATAATTTGGCCTGTGCCTGGACAACTAGACTGTCTGAGTAAGACATGAGCCAAAATACACACACACACGCACACAAACACCTCCCCCTCCCCCTACCATACATGCAGACTGGCCTCTTTGAACCTCACCTTCTATTCTGATAGTAGCCTTTCCCTTAACTCACACATGTCCAGTACTCCCAGCAGTAACTACTCGCAACTACCAGGCAGAGCTGCCAGTAAGCATGGTACAAATCAGAGTTGCCATCTGGTATCCATTTCAGGGGACTCATGAACTTGGGGGGAGGAAGACTTTTTATACTTATTTTAGTAATCTTGGAGTAAAATTTATCATTTCCTTCAATTATTCTGAATGAAAGCAGAAAACTACAGCAGCAGTACAAAGACCCATGATCGTTCTAACCACAGTATGGTTGTTACAGGTATCTCAAAATACCATTTATGTCTATACCATAAAATACCATTTATGACTATACCATAGTTACTAGGTTCCCCCCCCCCCCAGAGATCTTACAATTTAGCACATTAGTAAGGAAGCATATATATGGTTACAAACCAAACACAATCTCTTTTTTAGGAAAGAATATTTTTATCATTGTCTTTCAGCATAGTTAATTTCTCTGTAATTTAATGTCACTTCTTTTACACATTTAAAAACACAGGTATCACCAGACTATCAGAAAGGACCCTGGAGAAAAAAAGATTGAGAGACCTGTTTTAGAAAGAAAAATAAAAAAAAGGGTTTAGGTCAGAAAAACGATCATTTTCCACTGGCTTTTTTTTTTTTTTTGTCATTACATAGCTTGTGGTGCCCTTTGTGTCGAGAGCCATATGGTGCCTATACGTAGGTCATCCATCCCTTGGCCAGTCCCCATGATGTAGGCAGGTGGCTTTGCTTCTGCCGCCTGCCCATAATGCTGCTTCTGTTTGGCATTCAGCCTGCATCAGGTTAGATCACTCACCGCAGCAGAGGGGAAGGTGGGCAGGAGAGGTGCAGAGAATATTGACTTACCCTCACAAAGTCCACTTTTTTCTGAGATGCTTTTGGAATCTCAAATGGTTTCCATCTAAGCTGGAAAAAAAAGTAAACATCCAGGAAAATTACTTCCCCCGGGGAAACCATTGGCTTTCTAAAGAAATAGCATCAATTACCTGGGAGAAAAAAAGGACAGTTGCTCTCTCTGTGAGACTCTTGACTACTGTGATTTTGTTATTGTAGAGTTAATGATTATCTATCATTTCCTTAAAGGGGCTCTGTTGGTGTGCATGTGCATGTGTTGTGTGTGCATGTGTGTATGTGTGTATTTTAATCTACATGGGTATACATTGCCTTTGTTCCTAAGCACTTTCAATTATAAAAATGAAGAGACATTATTGCTTCCTCTTTCAGCAGCTATTTGATTCTTTTCACATTTCACTCTGGCACATCAGTGAGTTTTGACTGATGCTGCTTTTCATGCTATTTATAACTGGCTCCCTTTCCAGCACGCCAGCCTTTCTGTGTGGGCTACTGACACTGCAGGGGAAGATTCTACTGTGATTTCCAGCCCCTGATGATTTGAATGATTTCTTTAAGAGAGAGGAAAAGCACCCAGCTGAGACTGGATTTGGTAAAGGCAGGACCAGGATCAGGCTTTGTTTCACCAAACCCTGCATCTGTCTCCAGGCTGCCTGGTTTAAATCACAATAATCTTTAATTTAATGATGAATTGATCTAAAGAAGTAGGGAAAGAAACTAGCAGGTTCAAGCCCTGTTCCCAGTGTCAGCCCAACACTTATCAATCACCCTGGCAGTGGGCTTGACCCAGTCAAGCTAGTGGTTGATATGCCCGGCAGTTCCAAGTCATATCTCATGGGGTGACCTACACCCCAGGGCTGGCTCCATTGGCCACAGTGCCTAGTAAAGGCAGGCTGGGCCTTCTCCTCGTCCTCCTACACTGACCCCCCCCCCCAGGTTCTGGGCTCAACTCATTCTGTTATTTCAGAAGGGCAGGCAGATGGGACAGAAAGCAGCAAATGTGCTGGGACTGTTCTGCATCTCTGACATGCAGTCAGATAGCATTTCTTAAAAACAAAGCAAAAGACATCTCATTCTGAGACTGCTCAGAAAGAAGGCAAAAGGAAAGATTAATATAATCACACTTCGGAAAGGACACACTAGGGACTGTGAGGGAGAAGGGAAAACCTGAGAGGAAGGGTCTACAAAAGGGTGTCACAACCTTTGGCACTACTAAATGTTTTTTTTTTTTTGTTTTTGCTTATTCTGGGCTTGAACTCAGGGATCCTTCCTCTCACTTGACTTTTTTTTGCTCAAGGCTGGCTCTCTACCATTTGAGCCACAACTTCACTTCCAGCTTTTGCTAACTGAAGATAAGAGTCTTTCAGATTTGTCTATTTGTGTATCTGGCTTCAAACCTTGATTCTCAGATCTTAGCCTTCTGAATGGCTAGGATTCCAGGCGTGAGCCACTAGCATTCAACACTACTAAACATTTAATGCTGGATAATGCTTTGTTGTGAGGGCTGTCCTGTGCCTTGTAATATGTTTAGCACTACCCTCACCTCTGCCCACTACATGCCAGAAGCATTCAAACACCCTCATATGTGCTCAGTTGTCCCTTGGGGCTCAAATCTCCTGTCACGGAGACATACAGGCCTAGAAAGATACTCTCCTGGGCCCGGGAAGGTGGCTCAGTGGTACAGTGCTTGCCTTGCATGCATAATGTCCTGGGTTCGATTCCTCAGCACCACATAAACAGAAAAAGCTGGAAGTGCTGCTGTGGCTCAAGTGGTAGAGTGCTAGCCTTGAGCTGAAGAGCCGAGGGACAGCACCCAGATCCAGAGTTCAAGCCCCATGACTGCCAAAAAAGAAAGAAAGAAAGAAAGAAAGATGATACTCTCCTGACCTCAGGAAGGAACCATTGTAGCACTATGTGTATACTGGAGATATGTCATGGTCAGCATATGCTCTACTATGGTGCCAATTCCCTAGCCTAGGCACTGTGGAGTTTTAAGCAATGGTAGGATTTTACTACTAGACAGTACCTGCTGCTGTCCTCTATAGCAGCAATGCAGAGTTCATATATTCAGGAAAATTGCCTGAAAAAAGAGTCATCATTTAAGATTTCCCAATGGAAGAAGCACAGCGGTGGTTACCTTGGCAACCTTTTAGCTCCAACCAGAGATTCTTAACCTTGGTTACCCATGAGAATAACCTGGACAGCCTTGGAAACCAAGACCAAGTTAATTCAGAATCTGTGATGGGAGGGCCAGGCATCAGGATTCTAAACATTCTCTTACTGTGCAGCTAGTTTCAGAACCAGAACATTCATCTCAAAGATTCTGTAATTAGTGCATTTGTGAACCAAGCATCATCACTTAGATGAATCTGCTCAGTCAACCAACAAAGTCACAAACCAGTCAATCAATCTGCTAAATTGTGGCACCTCAGGCCAGATAGGCCAGGGGCAATGTCAATTACCAAATTGCAGGGATGTATAAATTATATAGGCTTACAAAGCTAACAACTATCAGGGATGAAAAATGAAAGATAAAAGAGAAGAAAGACTAAAAAAGAGAGAAAAAAGGCATCTCCAATATCAAATGAATTGCTACCCATGAATATCCATGGACTTCCTAAGTTCAAATACCTATTTGGGATAGAGATAAAGTTCCACCCGGAGAGAAGAGGAGACACGATTGTTCTGTGAGTGGGAAAGATGAACCAGAGGAGCTGCTGGGGAAGAGAGGCCTGATGGTGAGTTTTCAAGGTCTTCTGTAGCATGCATCTATCAGGCCGAGAGAGAGAGAGAGAGAGAGAGAGAGAGAGAGAGAGAGAGAGAGAGGGCAATCTGTGATGGTGGAGAAAGTCGGCCCTCAGCAGGGCCCACATTCCAGATGATGAAAACCTCCAATGCACAATTCCCTTTGAATGACAGCTGGTACAGGGAGAGGAATAATTTGTCTGTTGGGTCTGATGGCAGTAGTTTGTAGGGTCTATATTCAGACTCTACAGGGCCTGGATCATAAAGAATAATGACCCAAAGGTGGTTGTGGTGAACTTAGTACCTATACAAGGAAGCCAATTTGATCAGATCAGGAATCCTGATGTAAATGTGAAGAGATAGATTTGAGGAGATAGGATAGGATAAGGTGAGCAGGAAGAAAGAGCTCATGGTGCTCATGGATCACAAGGTAAAAACATCTCCTGCTAAGGCCAGATGCTCGGCCTAATTATCTATGCACTGTGCAGCAGTAACTCTGCTAGAAGGTCATACTAAAAGAGCAGTGCATTGGGCTGTCCCAGGCTGAACTACTAGTTTCTGCTAGTGCCTTTTGTTCTTATTTGCGTGGTGACTTGGGGCAGCAACTTTTCTTTGTCTGGACTGTTTTTCTTACAATCTTCACTGGTATTTGTTCTTTATTAGTAACCATAGAGAATAGGAGGACTTCTGACAGAAATAAAGGACGCTTGCTAATTGATATAGTTCTTGGGATGGACTAAATTGTGTCCTCCAAGATTCCTATGTTGAAGATCTAACCTCCAATGTAACTGTTCTGGAGATAGAACTGGTAGGAGGTAATGAAGGTTAAATGAAATAATAAATGTGTGGCTCTAAACCAATAGAATTGTGGTCACAGAAGAAGGTTAAGAGGTCTCACTCTTTCCACATGCATTCAGGCCATGAGAGGACACAGTGAGAAGTTGCCACTAAAAGCCAAAGAGAGTCCTTCTAGACACAAGCACTACCGGCATCTTGATTTGGGACTTGGATTCTTCAGAACTATGAGAAAATAAGTTCTGCCATTTAAGTCACCTGGTCTGTAGTATTTTGTATGGCAGTTCAATCAGTATAACATAATCCTACAGCTTTTTTTTTTTTTTTTGCTGGTGTGGGGCTTGAATTCAAGGCCTGGGAGCTATCCTTAAGATTTTTTGCTCAAGGCTAGTGCTCTACCACTTTGAGCTGCAATGCCACTTCCAGCTTTCTGGTGGTTAACTGGAGATAGGAGTCTTGAGGTCTTTCTTGTCTGGTCTGGCTTTGAACCATGATATTCTTAGATCTCAGCCTCCTGAATAGCTAGTATTACAGGCGTGAGCCACTGACATTCAGCTTTCTACAGTTCTTTAATAGTTTATGTTATTCATACTTAATACTATTGCTAGGTAGCACCTCCTATATGAAATTTAGTTACTAAATATTTCAAAAACAATGACATCAGTTGTAGTGCTTCAGGTAATATTTTGACTACAGTAGGAATTAATAAACATTTATTGAATGAGTTAATGGAAAAATAAACACAAGGCCCTGAGAATGTTACTTATATTTCTAAGAACAAGAAACAGAAAGCAAGAGTATTTGGAAGTCAGAATGGCAGCTAACAGCTAGGAAATTGACATATGTTTCTGAAAGTCTAAAGACTATTTCTAAAAAATAAATCAGAACCTAAAGGTTCTTCCTATATGTTCTGGATCCATTGTAACATTCTGTCAGCCATTGAGAGAGAAGAGAAATCTCCAAATAGAATTGTAGATTTGTATATTTCTCTTTATCATTGTTCCACATATTTTGCAGTTGTATTCTATAGAATCTACTGCCAAATAAAGTTTTACTTACTAGGAATGAAGTGAAAAAAATAATTCGAAAAGCATCTTTGAATGTCCAAACTTAGAATTAAAAATTCTTTAGCATGACCAAAGGAGGAAGATAGAGAATTCATAGTAACATTTAATGATCAAGATTCAAAATTCATGTTCAGAGATGAAAAGGAAATATGAAAGAAGTAGCTTTCATATTGCCAAAGTTAGAAGATTTGGGAGCTTATGATTTGAATATCTTTTTCAATATCCCTAAGATTCTTTAATTTACTGAGATTCCATTGAAAATTGCCATAAATTAAAAGAGGCTAGATGACTGCTCTTAACAACCATTGGCCAGCTAAAGGTAGACTTGTCATTAGACATCAGTATCATCACCCAAGAATAATGAAGTAATTAGTAAGTGAAATAGGGGTTACAATGTTGACAAGGAATTATTTAGCAGCTATACCTGGGAGAGATGCAGGGGAATTG